CCCTGCTTCGTTTTGAACTCCAAGGCCAAACTTCCCTGTTGCTCCTTTTATCTCTTGACTCCCTACTTTAGCATTCCAATCCCCTAGAATGAGAAGAACATCTTTCTTTGGTGTCAGTTCTAGAAGGTGTTGTAAATCTTCATAAAATTGTTCAATTTCAGTCTCCTCAGCATTGGTGGTTGGTGCATAAACTTGGATTACTGTGATATTGAGAGGTCTGCCTTGGATTCGTATTGATATCATTCTATCATTTTTGAGATTATATCCCATTACAACTTTTACCACTTTTTTGTTGACTATGAGGGCTACTCCATTCCTTCTATGGGAGTCTTGCCCACAATAGTAGATATGATAATCATCTGAATTGAATTCACTGACGCCCAGGATGTCAATGTTTATTCTTGCCATCTCCTGTTTGACCACATCCAGCTTCCCAAGGTTCATAGATCTTACATTCCAGGTTCCTATGCAGTATTTTTCTTTGCAGCATTGGACTTTCCCTTCACTTCCAGGCGCGTCCACAGCTGAGCATCCTTTCGGTTTTGGCCCAACCACTTCATTAGCACTGGAGCTACTTGTACTTGTCTTCCACTCTTCCTCAGTAGTATGTTGGACGCCTTCCGACCTGAGGGGCCCATCTTCCAGCGTCATATCTTTTAGCCTTTTGTTTCTGTTCATGGGGCATTCTTGGCAAAGATACTGTAGTGGCATTGCCAATTCCTACTCCAGGTGGATTGTGTTTAGTTGGAACTCTCCACTATGACCTGTCCACTCTTGGGTGTCCCTGCACAGCATAGCCCATAGCTTTTCTGTGTTACTTAAGCCCCTTCACCACGATAAGGCGGCAATCCATCTAACCCCCCCCCCCAAAAAATTGGAAACCTGAAGTGACTGGATAAAACTAAAATTTCTTCTTAGGAGGGACCCATGTTTTCTTTTAGAGAAGAATCAAAATTCCTGGAGGCTTCAAGGATTGGCCATTCTTCCTTTGCTGTTTTTTTCTTTTTCCATTGGGGTTTCAGGAAGATTTATGCTGCAAAAACAAGTGACAAGCTACATGAACTAGATTACCTGCCCATCATAAAACAATAATGGTTGTTTATATTGCCTAATTGTGAGTTAGGTGTAGTTCAGACAAAATGGGAAACCATGGTTTTCTGCTACAGAAATGCTCTTTTCTATCAGCTTTGGAGAAGGAGAGCAAAGGCATCTACCTCTGCTTTTCAACAAATCACATTGAGAACTGACTTTTCCTTAAACTATTGACTGTGATAAGTTTGAATTGATGTGGTTACATTTTAAATAAGATACATTTTATCTGCATGTTATCATTGTTTCTTATCTTGAGCACTATTTTAATGGAAAAGTGGCTATAAATAAAATCAGTTAATTAATCAATTAGATATCATAGGAGCTATAATAGAAATTAAAGTTAATTGTGGATAAGACTATAAGTATCACTATAAGTTTAGTGATTAAATTAGTATGACGTTTCCAGCTAATTTTTAAAAATTATATTTTAATGGTAGTTAAGTGGAAAATCCAAGTCTGGGCGATCTTTAAATGAGGAATCTGGAGAGGAAGACTCAGAGAAAAAGAAAAAAGGCCCCTTTTTTTCCTGGTCTAGAAGCAAAAGTTTGGGGAGATCTCAAAAGAAAAAGGAGAATGCTGATAATTCCAAAGGTCAGTTCTGTCAGAATGTGTGTGAAATAAATCACTTTTAAGTAGTGAGCAGAGTCCCGGAAAGAAAATTTATGTTTTCTCCAGACAGCAGGGAAAATATAAGACACAAAATAACTTTTGCTCTGAGAGATTTCAACAATATAACTCACAGACAATTTGTTGTCTTGTTCCAGCGAACATTTTTATCTTGTAGTTTCAGGAAAATATTTACAGCAGCTATTTACAGCACTCCAGACATCAAACCAACAGCATTATGAGCAGTACTTCAAACTCCACCCACAGAAGCATGGTACCAACTTGGTTACTTTTATATCTATCTTGCTGATGCAGTCTTGCTACCTGGATTGCATCAGATGTACAGTGACTCAGCAGAAATCCATTGCATGTGTCTATTATGTCATAACGTTCCTTAAAGAGACAATATTATCTAGTATTCAGGCCTATACTCTGATCACCCGTCTGAATATTTCTCGTGAATAGTTATGGCAAGCGGTTTTTTCATATTTACATATTCATACAGGTTCATACACAATTTTTACTCTGTATTTTTGCATTCCCAACCTGTTTACCGTATGTTCATGTTTTTGAATACTTAAAGGCTTTGTAAACATATCAGCTAGGTTCTTTTCTGTTTCACAATATCTTAATTCAATTATTCCTGTTTGTGTTATACTTTTCATGTTTTGGTATTTTACATCCACATACTTAGTCCTAGCTTTTAGCTTTCTGAATTAGCCATTGCAACACAGGACTATGAATCTTCAAAAATAGTAATTGGCATTTCACAGTCTATCTGTACATCTTTGAGTAATTGCTTGAACCGTATTACCTCATTACATGCTTCAGACAATGCGGCAAATTCTGCTTCTGTTGTAGATACTGTGGTTGTTGTTTGTTTTCTGGTTTTCCAGCCAATTACTGCACTTGCATACATAACCTGTTACAGACTTTCTATCAGTCTCTTCTGCAAATGAACTACAGTACCTACATACATAACAGGTGTCTCTGGTCCATCTTTTGGTAATTTTAAACAACAGTCCATAGTTCCTTTTAAGTATTTTAGAACCCTTTTAAACCTTGCCATTCACTCTGTGTAGGTTTAGCAATTTTCCTGTTTAGATAGCCTACTGCAAATGAAATGTCTGGACATGTCCATAACACTAGATGCAACAAACTTCCAATTCCAGACTGATACGATTCCACACTTTGAAAACATTCATCACGTGTTTTTCAGGAATTCTGGTGACATAGGTGTGTTGGTTATTTTTGCATCTGTTAATCCAAATTTTGTTATCAACTGTTCTATTTTCCTTTTCTGGTTTAAGAAAATATCACCATTTTTGTTCCTCAGTATATCTATGCCTAGATAGTACTGTACTTCTCCCAGATCTTTCAACTTGAAATGTTCACCAAGTTGCTGTGCAAATTGTTGTACTAATTTCTTTGACTTAGCTGTAATACATAGATCATCAACATAAGCCAATAATATCATGAATTCATCTCCAGACCCTTTTATGTAAACACATTGGTCTGCCACACTTCTTTTGAAACCTATTTTATCCAGACATCATGCAAACACTGATGCCAACACCTTGCACTTTGTTTCAATCCATGTAGGGCCTTTTTTAGTCTGTAGACCTTTGTAATGGTGCTTTCAGATATGTGGTGTCACAATCAAAATGATTGATTACCCAATTTTGTTTTGCTGCTAGAGATAATACCAATCACAAAGATTCTGCTCTAGCCGTGGGTGCATGTTTCATTATAAGAAATGAACTTTCCTTGTGCAAAACCCTGTACCACTAATCTTGCCTTGTACTTCAATGTACCATCTGGCAACACTTTTTAACAGACCACCCACTTTGCACCTAATGCAATATGTGATGGTGGTAAATCACATACCTCAAACATTTTCTGCTTTACAAGTGATTCAAACTCTGAATCCATTGCTGAGTTCCATTTCTCCTGCTCATCCACTGGTGGTTCTAGCATTTCTTTATAACTTTGAGGTGCACAGCCTACCTGGCATACTCTGATTTCATTTACTACAAATCTTTCTGGTGGTACACCCTGGATTGCATCAGATGTACAGACTCAGCAGAAATCCACTGCACATGTCTATTATGTCATAAGTTTCCTCAAAGAGACAATATTCTCTAGTATTCAGACCTATACTCTGACAAGTTCTAACATCCATGTACTGGGAAACATGTTTCTATACCATTTGTTGTGCTGATGTGTTGGAGGAGAGAGTCATATAACATCTAGAACTTCAGTCATAGGTGTATCAGAAGTTTAGCCTCATTCATTACTTATCCATTTCTCTATTGTCCCAGTCTCTATAGGAAAAGCAACATGTCTTAAGAGGAGAGATCCTTACTCCTATGTACACTCTGTATGCAAGGAAAAAGTGTTTTGTAGAGTTTCATCTTCTGTATAGGGCTTAACTATGAGCAGGGCCCTTGTCCTCTTCAGGCATCACTCTTCAAAAAAGAGAAAAGGACAAGGGAGAGAAGAGTGTCTGGACTCTTCCATCTAACCATGTTGGCAAGATACATTTATGTATGGCAATTAGCAACTGGATAGTTTTTTTTCTTGTTCATGGTTCCTTCATTTTGAGGATCTAAGCAGTTATTTTTAAAATTCTATATTTTCTGTGTAATGGGACAGAGCATTTTGTTTCATAGATGCTAAAGCATGATTTGCAACTCTTTGAATGAATTTTAGAGATGCAGTCTATCTGTTCAGCATCAAGATGAAAATTCTGATACATTTTAAAGATTTTCTAATAAGATTCTGTTATTCTATTTGAAATTCATTACACAAGTTATGATATAATATCTCCCTACAGATTCGACTCAGACCAATGGATTGTCCTACAGACATGAATCTCAAGACTCATTGTCATCTGCAGCAAGTCTTGAAATGGTAAGCCTTTCATTTTTGAACTTAAGACTGTGAGCTTTTGGACATAAACATAATTCTGTAACAACTTTTGAACAACCTTAACTATATGCCCCATGCTTAAATCAAAGGACACAATAGAAGAACACAGCTTGGTAACCAGAGGCCAGATTCTTTGTCAGAAGATAGGATGTCTTAGTTGTTTGTTATGTGCTACTTAATGTAAATAAACTATCAATAGCAAGTGTTATAAATATTGAAGAGATCAGAAGAAAATGTATTTATTGTTTATTATTTAAAATATATTAATATGTAAATGTTATTAACATTTCAGGGCACACTGCTCTCATGCAGTGACTTGCAAGATTGCAAAACACATGAAAGTACAATTACAATTAAACATGCACATACATCAGTAACAGCAGCTAAAAGTTTTAATGTATTAAATGCAGTTAATAAATAGTCACTCTTGAGAACACTCCGTTGTTAGCAGCCTCCAGCCTAATAGCTTTTGATTGTGGGGTAGATAATAGGACTGTCAATAGTGATGGTAACACGTTGACAGACTCATACTGTCCTTAGTAACTTGGTCCCAAATCATATGGAGCTTTAAAGCCCAAACTGGCACAGTGCATTTGCTCCAGAATCAAGTACACAGCCAGTGCAGAGTATTGTAAGACAATGTAACTAATACAATATAGGTGTAACAAGCTCTCTAGCTGACTAAGTCTGTACCAGTTGCAAATTCTGAACCCTCTTTAGAGATAACCCCATGTAAAATACATTGCACTAATCTAACCAGGATTTGACTTTCTGTCATTATAGACTAGATAACCTTTCACTAGATACACATTAAGCTGGCAGAAAGCAGTCTTGGCAACTGATGCCAATTTTGCCTCAGTAGATAGCACACGTCTAAGAGTACTTCTGGACTGCTTTCCAGGCATTTTGGGAGAGGTATGAATCATTCAGAGTCAGATGGCTGTGCTATCACAAGGGCAGTTGAATGAACACAAAAGGCATTTGGGATCAGTTGATGAAAAATAGAGGTAGAGCTGCCTGTCATCTTCATGTTGTTTGCAAGTTAGTCCAAATCTCCAGATGATTCCCATCATAGAGATATGATCTAGAACACTGCTTCCCAGATGAGTCCCCAGATGTTCTTGGACTACATCTCCCAGAAATCCTGGCCAGCACAGCTAGTGGTGAAGTCTTCTGGGAGTTTTAGTCGAAGAACATCTGGGAACCCAAGGTTGGGGACCATAGATCCAGAAGAACTACCAATGGTGTTGAAAGCGATCAGACTTCTGTGACAATTGACAGAATTACTCCTCCCATTCATTCCTCTTCAGAAGTTGCCTACCAGGATAACCAGGAGAGTTGTTGTTCTGTACCAAGGTCAGAAGCAGATTGTGTTGGATCAGAGTAATCAGGAACATTCCAAACTTCTTGAAACTGGTGTTACATACAGCACTGATGTTACCTGTCTGTCATGGGTTTGGAGGGAAAGTTCCAGCCTATGGGGAGTGGAAGGCGGGACATCAGGAGGAGGGGCTGTACTGTATATATATGTGAAGCCTGTGTGGGGAAGCTGGAGGAGAAGAGCTGAGAGAAAAAGCTTGAGTGGGAGTCTGTGTGTCAGACAGGGTACTACTGTGTGTCAGTCAGTACCAACCTGATAGGTTCAGGTGTCTGTAGGGTTAGCCAGAACTGATAGGTTCAGGGTCTGTGCTTTAGTTAAATGCGTTCTGTGTGAACCAAACTAGTGTATGTATGATTGGGACTAAGCCACGTTACTGTATCTTATTCATTTGATCATTTTATTTTCCCTGTGTGTTATGTAAATAAACCTTGTTCTTTTATTTGTTAAAAATCCATCCCTGGTCTGTGTGACTTCTTATAGGGAATGGTTGGTGGCAGCTTAGTGAAAGTGGGTGACATATCCCAGTAGGTCTGGGGTTGTCACAACTGGCACTTTAAGAGCCCACTCATGAGGACACCACCTGCTCACAAGAAAACATCCCCAGCAGCTGAGCTCTCTACCTTGGGGCTTCAAGCCTGGCTTGTTTCTGCAGCCTTCTTTACACTCAAGGGCTAGGGTAACATCCCATCTCCTCTTGGACTCAGCTCCTAACACCCCATCATCCGTAGGTTCAGATTTTTGGGTCCCTGAGGATCCAGGATCTATGGGCTCAGACTCCTGGTTCCTTGAGGGCCCAGGATCCTTTAGGTCATTCATCTCATCCGTCTTTGGACTCTTCCTCATCCTCACTGGAGAACTCTACTGAGGTAATGGACAATGAATATAATAACTCCCCCACAAATAACTTTGTTCTTCGTCACTTCGTGGGGGCAACTTCATGCTTCATGAGTCATCAACTTTTGATGACTCATGAAGTGGGATGACTCACCAAAATGGTGAATGGTCCCCATCTTTAATTACAACCAAAGGGTGCAACTTGTAGGGAAGCAGATTTCCTCCAGAAATTAGAAGAAATTCCAAAGTCAAATGGCACTGGAACAAATTGCATCAGGTAGTAGCAGGTCTTCCTTCCACAGAAGTATTTAAAGTGAGGCTGGATGAGCATCTGTTAAGGACATTGTAGCTAGACTTTGTGTTGCAGATTCTGCATTGAGAAGGGGTGTACTGTGTAATCTGCAAGCTATCTTTCAGCTCCACAAATCTTTGACTGTATCTGCTTGCTTGTGTACTTGTTTTTTGTTGTCCCAACAGATTCTGCTATTCACAAATACCAACTGACATGTAAACGCAAACAAATACAGTCGTGCCCTGCTTAATGATTGCCACGCATTACGACGAATCCGCTTTACGATGATGTTTTTCCGATCCCAATTGTGATTGCAGAACGATAGTCTCAATGGGGGAATTTCGCTTAGTGGTGATTGGTTCCTTGCTTCGGGAACCGATTTTCGCTTTAGGACGATCAAAACAGCTGATCGTCAGGTTTTCAAAATGGCCACTGGGTGCTTAAAATGGCTCCCTGCTGTGCTTAGGGACGGATTCCTCGCTATACAGGCACTGAAAATGGCTGCCGTGTGGAGGCTCTTCGCTGGACGGTGAATTTTTAGCCCATTGGAACGCATTAAATGGTTTTCAATGCGTTTCAATGGGCTTTTTAATTCCAGTTTACAAAATTTTTTGCTTAACAGCGATTTTCCTGGAACGGATTATCGTCGTTAAGCGAGGCACCACTGTACACACATACTTAGCAGATAACAGAATTTTGAGCTGTTACAAGCCTTATCCACTTAAACTTGCTAGAGGTCATGGCCAAAACATAGAGAAGATGTGGACCTAGGATTCTGTTGAGTGGCAGAGAGCCTTTTCCCTTTAGAATTCTCTCCTGCACGCAGCTGAAGTGAATAATAAAAAGGTAGTAGAGAGTGGAATATGGGGGGGCGGGATATATCTACATGCTAACCACTATTAAAGCAAAGAGAATTGCTGAAACAATCCACCGGACTTAAATGAAGTATAGGGCTACAGATTCCTATAACAAAACACAGGTTTTCCCCTTGTGTGGTATCTTTAAACTCTCCCCCCAAAATTCAACATACAGTGGTAGTTTGACTTACATTATTATTTGCAGGATACCTTCTCTACTTCCTGTGTTTGATTTTCATTGTTCGTTTTTACATAAAGACTCTCTCTTATCCTTTGACAGTTTGACTTCCATAGAGCATCTGGACACATAACTGAGAAAGAGAAACCTTCTAAATGCTGCCATGTGAATCTTCCAGATGGCTCAGTGTATACAATGATGGTCAAAGCTGGATTTTCAATCAAAGAGATGTTATCTGAATTCTGTGAGAAACAAGGCATTAACATAGCTGCAGTGGATCTGTTTTTAGTTGGTGGAGATAAGGTACTTACCCTTATACAACTGTTTCAATTACTTATTATTTAACATTTTCTAATTGCTTTTCAAATAATGGCTGAGATCTTGTGGCTTAGTGTATTTAGTCCGAACTTAGTGTAGTCCCATTGAATCAATGGAACCTATGGAGAGGTTTTGTCTCACCAAATCCCCACTGATTCAATTGGCCTACTCTAGTTGTACCTTACTTAGCTAAGCAAGATTTCAGCCATTAAAGAATAGAAGGTTCTCAAACCAGGCTTGTAGTCTAATAGGTACAATATGAAATGAATGGGTTGGAAAAAGCATTCCCATGCTTGCTCCTTCATTGAACCTAGGAAGTAGCCAGGTTGGTCTCCCCTTTATCCTGATGTTCTTTATAAGAAGCATGAGGTTCTTTCTCTCCCTGCCTACTGACAAGGGTCAAGGTGTGCATCCGTTCACTTCCCAGATCCAAGAAAAATGACAGAGCCAAGAAAAATACATCAGCAAATTCCTTTTTTTATTTTCCTGATTTTTTTGTCCCCATGCTCACACTTTTAATGTTCCTGTAAATCAGGGGTCTCAAACATGCGGCCCGGGGGCCATTTGCACCCCCCCCAGATGATAGTTTGTGGCCCTCGCCTTGCCTGTCCCCCCCAAAGCGCCCACACATCCTCTGCTGTCAAGAGTAAAAAAAAAGCCTTGCCTCGCTCGCTGGCTCTCTCCCAAGACAACACCTCTTGCACCCTCCATCCAGAACTGCAGCCTGCCAGCCAGCCCACCTGTCTGTCGGCTAAGGAAACTCCTGGGCGGCTTCCTCGGGCTCTTGCTCTGCTTGGCGGAAAATCTGATGCGGCCCAGCCTCACCCAGACTCTGCCTCTAGCGGCCCCCAGGTAAATTGAGTTTAAAACCCCCGCTGTAAATAATAAGTACTCTATATGCATTTGCAGAAAATTAGAATGCAATCCTAAAATCCATCACACACAAACACGTCTTTCTGTTACCATTATTATTCCTTTTTCTTGTCTAAATCTGGGTATTTCATCATTGTTCTGAATTTGAACCTCTGAGTTTCAGTGCTGTAGGCACATTTCAACTGGGAAATACGGAAGTGCTGAGCAACTTATATAAATGAGCCTCATGGTCTTTATGCAAATTAGCAATAAATACTGTAAATGGTGTGGACTATAGACAAATGCTCAACATATCAAAAAATACAGCTGCAACATTAATTGGTTAATCACATTAATTACCAGAGTTAATCACTATCAGGAACAGCAACAGCCTGTCCCCAAAAATTTGAGGTTCAACTAAGATATTAAGTTCAGATTGTGGCTCACAGGTACTTGCTGTCTGCCCTTTGAAGCTACTTCTGCAGGCATGGGCAGAGTGGTATGTATTATACTGGAAAAGGAGGAGGAAGCTACTGTCTTATATTGAGAACTGCCCTCTGTTGGGACAGGGAGAGGGAGGTAGAGACAGTCCATGTACCATGCAAGAATAAGGTGGTCAGTTTGAAAGTGGAAAATAAGTCATCCCTGAAAGCAAGCTAGAAACAAGTAGGAACATCATTTGTTGGACTGTAATATGTACCAAAAATGATATATTATAAAAATATCTATGTGGCCTGAACTGGAAGTGAGATCACATTAAATCTGTGAGGAACTTTGGTGTCTTTCCAACGTAGAGATTCTTAGAGTTAAGAATGGAACCTTCATATACAGATGCACAGAAGCTGTGTGCCAGTGAATTCCTTCATTGATCAAATCGAAAACTCTGCACATTTACCAATTACTTTATGAGTAGTATTTAAAGTTGTTCAATAATTATGCATAGCCATGTTCTTTTTTCACAGAGATAGAGTTCCACATTAGCATATAATTTTGTACTTTCTGTGTTTGTAGCCGCTTGTACTGCATCAGGACAGCAGCATTTTGGATTCTCGAGCTCTCCGTTTAGAAAAGAGAACTTTATTTAGGTAAGAACAAACTATCCTGTAGTTTAAAAAGCTGTCATTCTTTTAAAAAAATATTTTTAATCCTCTCTGTAGTAAAACAGAAGGCATTCAACCCAGACAATAATTCTTTAAAGATACAGCAATTCTAATGCACATACAGAGTTGTGCAAAAAGGTTTCCGTTCACTTCTGTGGAAAAGGCAATAAGGAAAAGCTACATTTGCCATAGAAATCTCATTATCAGAGCAGGAGGGGTGGACAGGCACCCTAAAAATTGAAAGCACAGTCATATATAGTATATGAGCCACCTACCAACTTACCATTAAAGTAAATGGCAAGCAAGTTTGAAAGCATCTTGAAACTGTAGTTCAAGTATGATTTATAGCTACAGTTTGGAGTGAAATATGTACCTTTATTTTAGAAATGTTAGATTTGCCTTTAGTCCTCACCAGTGAAAACAATCCTTCCCTAAATAAATAAATAAATAAATAAAGTTAAATAAATAATTACATTTGTTAGTTTGACAGTAATATCATATCATAGTTTATGAACATTTGAACTAAGCTGCTGTATATTCTTCTCTCCCCCATTTACTTTTTCCCCCTCACCTGCTGATTTCCAAAGCGTCATTTTCACTAAGATTTTAATATAGGTTGCTAGAAATTAAAGCAGGAGAAAGGAGGGGAGAAGAACACATTCAGATAGAACAAACAATGGTTTATCACTAAAGCAGAAATGTGAGGGGACATAGAAGTAACAAATGAAGGAAAGGTTCTGCAAGCAAAGGTCTGTTTCTAGTGCCAAACCATGGAACTACACTTCAAACAGCGTTCAGTATCATTGTCCATCTTCCTAAGAGTTTTCAATCAATTCCTTTGCTTTTTCAGCTATGGCTTTCCTGTGCCCCACCCCACCCCACATTTTCAGATAATGTTGTTCTCTGTTCCATGAAATATATTCCAGTGCATTTTAGTTTTAAGCTTCAGTTTTTCAGTCTGCTTACTGATCAGTCTTTCCCAAACTTGCACTCTTCAACTATTTTGGATTCCAACTCTCATTCTCCCATGATGACTACGGCCAGAGTTGGCTCTGCCATTAGCCTCAATGAGGCGGGGAGCAGCTCTCTCTGCTACTCCTGAGAGCTGCTTCCTTCCACTTCCTGTATACAGGACTACCGCTGTAGTCCTTCTCCTGTTCAGCACCCCTGGTTATTCTTTCTTTGTGTGCTGCATCATCATCCCATCCTTCTCTCTTTTTGAGCAGCTAGAGTCCTTAATGAAGATGCTTGCTTCTCAGCAGGCAGGCAGGGAAGGAAATAAGCACTGCATCCTCTTCCTTTTGTGAGGACAAGTTGAAGGGCAGGGATTACATCACACTATTTTGTTTTAAAAAGCAAATCATACAATTGTTAGTTGCATGCATTCTGTCATGTCTGGTTAAACCCAGGGTTTAATCCAGTTTTTACTTCCACCTAGAGTAGATCCATTGAATGAGTTTGACTCATTAAGACAAAATATCCTGTACATAAGTTGAATGAACAATTTGATTAAGCAGTCTTTGATTGATTGATTGATTGATTGATTGACTGATTGATTGATTGATTGATTGATTGATGTTTCTTGTCTGCTGAACACATTAGATTCATTGTGCACTCAACACTGTTAGATTATCAAGTACTCCTGAGGAGGTATTTTCCACAGTAAAGTTCAGGTTATAAAATTTTCATCACATTAGAACCTTATCTGAGCCCCAAAGTACTTATATTCTGCAGCAGTGCAGCATTTTCACAGTTGCTTTCAAAGGCTCAGGTTGATGCCTATACATCTAGTCTTAGTAAACTGCAGCTTGATTTTATTGTAACCAGAGTGAGTGGGAGGGTTAATTATTGGTTTTTTTTTCCTTATTTACCTCTTTAGGCCATTTGAATTAGTCATGGGAAATTCCAGAAAATAAATATACTGGGCAAAATACTGTTGCATAACTTTATGCTGGCATAACCTAGATTGGGTTCTGAAAAAAATTGCATTAATTAACAGCTTCATATTCCTTCCCCTTGCACTGTTTTAGGTTCCAAGGCTCCCTAGGATTCCATTTTGCTCTGGGGAAGGTTTTAGGAGACTCAAGAGAAGGAGAAAGGCTTTAAAAGTAATGAAATGAATACCAGATTGCCACAATCTCTGGTAGCAGTTTTTTTATTGTTAAGTCTTCCTTCCCCAGTCCCTAGGCCTGAGGCTTCTAAAGGCTTCCCCAGGGCAAAGGGGAGCCTTAGGGAGCCTTGGACCCTAAAACCTGGGGCTAGAAAACTTTGAATTAGTGCAAATTAAATGTTTGTCACCTGATCCAGTTACACTGGTACAAAGTTACACCAACAGCATTTTGTCCACTGTATGTCCAATAATGTTGAGATACTTGTCATGATTATAGCTATAGGGAGGCTTTTAAAAGTAAGTTTATTATGATCTTATGCCCATTCAAATTTATACATACATCAACAAATTTACACATAATACAAAGAAGAACACAGAAAGGTAAAAATACAGAGAAAGGCCATCCAGCATCTTCCAGTAAGGAAGCCCCTTTTTGCACTACAGCGGGGGGAGGGGGTGTTTAGCAACCGGAGCAGTAAAATAAGAATTCCAGTCCAACAAACAAAACATAACCACCCTCTTACAGTTCATTTAAAAAGGAAAGTTCACCGTCTTTGCATTCAATGGTTTTACATCTTAGAACATAATAAAAATCTAGTCCTTAGCAGGTCTGAAAATTAGGTAAATACAACCTTGGCTGAACAACAGCACATGACATATTATATACCATGTCATAATTTATTTAACAAAAATAAAGCTGAAATGGAGAAGCAATGTGTGAAAAACGAAGTACACCCTTACTATTTTCATAGGGACTAAGGGGCTAAGTAACAGCGGGTGCTGCTAACGAAATGCCCTGGAGTCATCAGCAAGTGTCACCAACTCTATAAAAGCCAAAGTTTGGCAGTTTGGTGGTCTGGAGCATTAAGGTGTGTGTTAACACAATGCCAAGGAGGAAACACATCAGCAATGATCACAGAGAAGGAATTGTTGCTGCCCATCAGCTGGGAAGGATTATAAGGTCATTTCCAAACAATTAAAAGTCCATCATTCTATACAAGTGAAAAACAGTCAAAGCAGTTGCCAGTCTTCCTAGGAGTGGACGCCCAAGCAGATTCACCCCAAATTCACTATGCAGTGCTCAGAGAAATTGCAAAAAAACCTAGAGTTATAGCTCAGACTCTACAGGCTTCACTTAGGAGGTGAAATGTTCAAGTTCATGACAGTACAATTAGAAAAAGACTGAACAAGGTTGCTGGGAGAAAGGCTCTTCTCTCTAAAAAGAACATGGCAGCACAGCTTACGTTTGCAGAGTTGCATCCAGACAAACCACAAGAGTTCTGGAACAATGTCCTTTGGACAGACAAGACCAAAGTGGAGCTGTTTGGCCATAATGCACAGTGCTATATTTGGCAAAAACCAAACTCAGGATATCAACACAAACACCTCATACCAGCTGTCAAGTATGGTGGTGGAGGGGTGATGATTTTGGCAGTTTGTAGCCACAGTACCTGGGCACCTTGCAGTCACTGAGTTGACCATGAACTCCTCTGAATACCAAAGTATTCTAGAGTGGACATTCTCTAAATGTGAGGCCATCTGTCCTACAGCTAAAGCTTGGCTGAAATTGAGTCATGCAATAGGGTTAGGGTTAAGGTTAATCTACAACAGAATGGCTGAAAAAAGAAAAGAATCAAGGCGTTGCAATGGCTCATTCAAAGATGAGACCTCAACCTGATTGAAATGCTGTGGTGAGATCTTCAGAAAACTGTCCATAAACAAATGTCAAAGAACTGCAGCAATGTTGTAAAGAAGAGTGGGCCAAAATTTCTCCACAACGATGTGAGAGATTGGTAAAGTCATACAGAAAATGATTGCTTAAAATTAGTGCTGCTAAAATGGTTTTACAAGCTATTGAATCATAAGATATCCTTAGTTTTTTATACATGGCTTCTCCATCTTGGCTTTATTTTTGTAAAAACGAATCATGACACGGTATAATATGTCATGTGTTATTGTTCATCTGAGGTTGTATTTACCTAATTTTTAGACCTGCCAAGGACCAGATGATTTATATTATGTCCTGATACTTAAACCCATAGAGTTCAAAAAAAGGTGTACTTTCTTTTTCTCATGACTGTATCATGATAGCCTTGATATTTTTGCAAGAAGGGATAAATTAAATCATTTATTTGTTCATAAGACTTAACAGTAGAAGGACATGGGACAAGAATTCAGGAGATATGCATAGGCAGCATCTTGCCTGATGGGGAATTCCCCCAAATCTACCCTGGAGTAAATGCTGAAGGCAGAACATTAAATCTAGCAAACATAAATGGTGTATGAGCCTGGCATATCCTATAGGTTTTAAGTAAGGTGCAGTTGATGCATATTCTGACAACACACCATTTGTAACAGGAACAGGTTCTGCTTCTAGGTGAAACAGCATTTGTCTCTCAAGATCATATAGTCTTTGGAACAACACTGTAAATGATTGCTGTTGTCCAAGCAGCAGAATTGAGTCACCTCTACATAGTTAGGAACACATAAAATATGATGCAGAAAGGTGACTTGGAGTTTTTCTGTAGCCAGATAGCATGCACTAATCCTGATGGGAATGCCATAGAGGAGCTGAGCCATATGCTTAGCTTTAAATACATGAATGGCAGTGAGTACGATGTCCACTGCTGATGTAAGAAAAGTGAACAACAGCTGATGTACTACAGTTAGTCAGATTAAGTGCATATTTACAATGAGCAGTCCATCTAGAATTACCGTATTTTTCGCTCCATAAGACGCACCTTTCCACAAGACAAACCAAATTTTTAGGAGAAGAAAACAGGAAAAAAATAATTTGTTTTCTTCTCCTAAAAATTGGTGAGCCTTATGGAGAGGTCCATCTTATATAACACATCCTAGGACCCTTTGGAGGCTCACCCTGCCCCCCGGGGGTCAGAGGGGGCGACATCACCAGTTTCTGGGACTCTGCTGAAGCTTCCCAAGCCTCAAAAGA